TCGCAGTGCAAGAAGTACTTGGGAGCCAACTGTCTCGTCAACAAGTTCGACAACAAGTCCAAGTCCAAGACCTGGTTCGACGTGGTCGTCCTGAGCCAATTCAGCAAGCTCGACAAGAACGCCATCAATAGTGCCCGCAAGGCGGTTTGCGTGTAAATAAAAAATCCGAAGGATGAACAATTCAAAAGCAAAAGCTATTTTCGTAGAGTATCCCTTTGTCTGTAACCTTCCTTGTGCTTCCCGCTTCCTGTTTGGCCAAGATTTACTGTTGAGACACTTCCGTGCGAAACTGCATGATGATGATGAGATATGTGACAGTTAGGGAGACGATCTGTATGACAAGAAGAGCACAACCGGTAAATGTGTGCTGAATTGCTGCCTCTGCATGCAAAAGGTGTGACAACTGACGTTGATACTCACAGAAGTGAAGAGAGGTCGGTCGATGTTGGCGAAACCGCTCAGCGACAAGTTAGCCGGCCGGGAACTCACGGACATGTAGAAGAGCAGTACCTGCATCATCGTATGCCGACGTTAGCACCCCCACTCTGCACTGCAAAACCAGCCATCGACCACGTACCGGACCAGGTGTTTCATAAAAGACACAGCGCTTGTCCCTATTGCAAAAAACAATGAGATAACTATATATTCTGGAAGGAGGAAAAATCCTCTAGCCAATGGTATAGGTCCCAAAAATAACCCAAAAAGTGGAGTTGCGTGGTTTCGCCGGTGCCGGACCGCTGTGCGTGCCTTTGAGGGAGGCTCCGCGGAGTTGCGTGGTTTCGCCAGCGCCGGAGCGCGGTCCGTGCTTTGCAATGGGGACAAGCGACAGGTTCGGGCGTGTTTGCCTATCCGCTCTGCCCGTACGGCGCCATAGCCCCTTGGCTAGGCAAACCCGCCAGCACCTCTGCCTTTTAAGATGCACCCGGTACATACATATGAGTTGGTTTTACAGTGAGAGGTAAATGCACGTTCAGAGTGCAATCATACAAGTACTTGCCGACTTACAGCTCTATGGAAATGCTCGTCAGGTGCATTTATCGACAGCCTGTCCAGAGCAGCAATAACAGGGCCGTGCATCTGTCGCAGACGAGAACTGTCAAAATCTTGGTTGAAAAACGGATACGAGGATGCGGGTCACTGGTCTGCAGACCGCAAGATAGCTGACTCTAGTACTATTTACTGTGGTTGAGTAAACCAAGTACACTAATATGAAGTGAAATTTACGAACATCAACGATAAAAATCTTTTTTAAGGAGCGCGATGCATAATAATTACCGTGGTTACCGCCCCGTGCGCCAGGTCGATCATCCGGAACTGCTCAGACGTCAACGCCAACATACACAGGACTTGCGACGCGGCTGACCACAGCATCCGAGCTGACCTGGCGGGCGAGATGGACAAACCGGACGGTGCAAGAAAAACAACAGCGCCATCGAAACCATTTGCAGTATACATATCAAAGGGCTGGGAAGTACTCACGCAAGCGTCTGCCACAGGGAGACGGACAACAGCAGCAAGGCAAAGCGTTGCGACATGAAGAACACATCCAGCAGGTAGAAGCTGGGGCGGTCATTGAAGAGCGCGCGAAGGCCGACCCAGAGCTTTTGGGCACGGCGCACC